TATCTTGTGATTTGCGGTTCTGTGTCTTTGTGTGTCTTATCTGTTGCTTTTAATATTTATAGTTTTTATACTGAAATTGTTTATTGAAGTATTTATCTTAATGCATGTGATTAGTATTAATTTGAATCATTGTGCCATCGCTGCTGCCCAGCTCTCTGTTATCCAGGAAGTTGTGGGAGTCTTGCCTGATGTCATCTTGCTGCAGGAGCCATATTTAATTAGGGGTAGAGTGGCCTATGTTAATAAAAATTGGAGAGTCGTTGCTTGTTATGGGGGAAGGACTGCCATTATTGTCGTCAATCAAGATATAGATTTTGTTGTAGATTTCGAGACTGACGTTGTTACCAGTATTTCTGCTGTGCTGGGTGATCAAGAATATGGATTGGTGTCTATTTATTTCTCTCCAGCTGAAGATATTTCTATTAATTTGTATAAATTGGAAAATGTTTTAGATACTTATGATAAATTTTTAGTTTTGGTGATTTTAATTGTAAGCATTTTAGTTGGGGGGCTGGTTATACAGATGCACGTGGGATTTTATTATTTGATTTTATTACATCTAAGAATTTGGTGCTTTTTAATATTCAAGATTTTACCCCAACTTTTTCATCTTCAGTTGGACAGGGTTGGACCGACCTTGTGTTAGGTTCAAGATCATTGGATATTAATGATTATAAGTATGAGGTTTGTCAAGAAGAATCTCTCAGCGACCACAGATATATTCTCTTTGACATGGAAGGTGTTTGTCTCCAGCATGGGAGTGGAAACTTTATAAGTAGAAGTGTTCCTAAAGTTTACAAATTGTGTAAAAAAGTAAATGTTGTCATTGAGGATTTTATTCAGAAAATAAGAAATGCTGGGTGTTACGAAGAAATTGATTGTATAGTCTCTGAAATTGAGACTTATTTGGTTAAAAAGATTGTTACTAAATTAAGGGTTAAAAGAAAAGTTGGTAATAAAATTATTTGGTGGAACGTTGGTCTTGAAAGACAAAAGAGAAGAGTACGGGCTTTTAGGAAGAGTTTTCAGGTAAAGAATATTGATGATGTTACTAGATTAAGAAGGAAAATTAGATATAAGAAAGAACTAGCTATTTATAAACGTTCTATTAGAGAAGCAAGAAAGAATAGTAAGATTAAATATTTTTTGGATTGTGTGAATCATTTTGATGGTTTCTATAAGACTGCAGCTGGAAAGAGTAGACATAAAGTTATTGTCAAGAGACCGGAGGGCGTTGCTGGAAATTTTGAAGAAGTGAATAAAGCTCATGCTAAAGTTTATTTTGATTTAGATTATGATTTTTTGTTTGATATTTCGAATATTGATGATTCCAAGTTAAAAGATGATGATTTTTGTTTTACTCGTGATGAAATTGCTGGAGTGATTCGACGTCTTAGAGACAAAGCTGCACCTGGAATTGACGGCATTCATTCTGTGATTGTTAAGACTTTATTTGATTTATATCCTGATTTTTTTAATACTTTGTATAATGCATGTTTAAAATATGCCATATTTCCAGGCACATGGAAGATAAGTAAAATCATATTGATTCCTAAGACCGAAGGAAAATCAAGGCCAATTGCTTTATTAAAGATATTTGGAAAGGTTCTTGATAAATTGATAACTAATAGGATGATGCATTATATTTTTAAATATAATCCTTTCCATGATAGTCAATATGGTTTTGTTCCTGGTCGAAGTACCGATGATGCTCTTTTTCGAGTTATCTCATATATTAGAGAACATAGGGTTAACCAGCACGTTCTTCTTGTCTCTTTTGACATCGCTTCTGCATTTGATAACGTGGATTGGGTCTCTTTATTGGGGACTCTTCAAGATTTGTATATACCCAGAAATATTTTTTATTTGATTTTGGATTATTTTAAGAGTAGAAGAGTGTATTTTAATTGCTTTTCGGAAAGTAAATATGGGTCCACTTTTAAAATTGGTAAAGGCTGCCCGCAGGGTTCCTGCAGCGCTCCTCTGTTCTGGAACGTGATTATGAATAAATTGCTTCAATGTGAATTTTCTGGCAATGTGGAACTTGTTGCTTATGCTGATGACGTCGTTGCATTGTTTAGGGGGGACTCACTTGAAAAACTGGAAAAATTGTTTGATGAGACCTGTGCAATTTTTGATAATTGGAGTAATGGGGAAAAATTGAATTTTAATATGGATAAGACACAAGCTATGTTTTTCCCGAGGGGAGGACGTGTGGTGAGACCTCCTCGAATTCGGTATCATAATAGAGGAGAATTAGATTTACAGAAAATATGAAATATTTAGGTGTTGTGTTGGACTGTAAGCTCACTTTTGTTGAACACTTTAAGAACGTGCAGCGAAGAACAGATCAGCTTTTACTTGCCTACAGAAGGAACTTTGCGGGCGATATTTTTGCTAAGAGATCTGGTATACTATTGGTTCTATATAAAGCCGTTGTATTACCTATTGTGATGTATGGAATTGGCGCCTGGGGTTCCAGAGCGGGGGAGCTGGTGAGGCTCCGGATGAAGTTGGATTCTATACAGAGAGCTTGGGGTCTTGCAATTACTCGCTGCTTTAGGACAGTCCCCACGGAGGTGGTTTGTGTATTGGCCGGCCAGACTGCCTCCCCTCTCAGTTTATTACGAATTTTATTACAAGAAATATCTTTTACGTTCTGGAAATATTGATATGATTTGTTTTGATTCTAATATTATTACTAAATATGTTTTTGAAAAATTTAATGTACATTTATTACACCCTGTAAATAGAATCAGTTATGGGTTTGATAGAGAAATTCCAAAAATTGGAATATATGATATTTATACGGATGGTTCGGGGTTAGGAGGGTGTACTGGAGCTGCTTTTGTTGTATATTTCTATGATGTTGAAATTGATTATGGTTTATATAGATTGAATTCTTATAATTCAGTATTTCAAGCGGAATGTATTGCTGTTTTGAAGGCCTTGAAATGGATTAAAATGAATATTAAAACATGTGTTACTATAAATTTGTATACTGATTGTCTTTCTTTGCTCCAGTCGCTCTCTTGCCCCGATAATGTTAACTGTATTATTATGGATATTAAATTTCTGTTGCAATCTATCAGTTCTACGATTTCTTTTCATTGGATTAAAGCCCATGTGGGGTTTTTTGGTAATGAGAGGGCTGACAGTCTGGCCAAGGAGGCATGTATTTCAACTAATGCACCCATTGTGGAAATTTCTGGTTCTAGACAAATTGCCATTACGAGTATGAAGAAATATTATATAAATATATGGAAAGATGTGTGGAAAAGTTCAACAAGGAAAAAATAATTTGTTGATTAATATTGAAATTACAGATAAAGTTTTAATCTATGATGACATTGATATGAATCAGATTATCACCGGACATGGTAGGTTTCCTCATTATTTAAAAAGATTTCATGTACAAGATAATGATCTATGTCCAAATTGTAATGTTTTGGGTGATGCCAAACACTTCGTGGTGGACTGCCAATTGACTGATTTTATTAGACGAAGTTTTTTGTGATATACATTTTGATTTATTGAATTTTGATTTTTAAACATTTGAAATTATATGCAAGAGAATTGATGGCCTTTATTAATGGCAATAGACATGCGATTGGGGTTTTTAACTAAGTTCATTTTATTTTCAATGTGTTTATTTTAGGATGTCTTTTTCGTCGTGTTTTGATGATATGTGTGACTGTATGTCATATTTTCGTTGTGTGTTTTATGTGTGTTTTCCTTCCTTATTTTATGCTATCATTTTTACTAATACAGTTTTCTTGATTTAGTTATTTTTGGTTTTTCTTCTTTCCTGTTGTGTCGTTAATCCAGCCATTTAAAAAAATTAATAAAAATAATAATAAATAATAAATAAAATAAAAATATATATATAGTCGTATGGCAACCTTGCTGGATGTATAATTATTATTTTCTTTAGTTGATTATACTAACATTTTTAGTTACTCGGAATGTGGTGTGAATGGGACGCCCCTTTTTGGACCATAAGATCACTTTGTGATCAGGCGGGTTGGGGCGTTCTAGCAAAACAAAAAAACAAAACAAACCACGTTGGTCGGATTCGAGTCTGGAGAACGTGGGAGGGTGCTGAACACTGCGTTATGCCGCCCATGGTCCTGCCTGGGTTATGGTTATGGGGCGGTATTGGATATACTCTCGCACTCTTCTATACGCATTGCGGTACTTTAAACAGCCAGCGCTACATCTCCGAGGTGTTGGATCCCGTTGTCCTTCCTTTACCTTCAGGGCTTGCCCACAAGTCATATTTCAACACGATAATGCGCGACCACACGTGGCACGCATTGTCCAAGTGTTCTTCGTCAATCGCCAGATTGAATTGCTTCAATGGCCGGCTCGCCTCTCCTGATCTTTCGGCGATAGAAAACATGTGGTCCATGGTTGCTGAACGATGTGGACCGCAGATTACACATCCCAAGCTGCCGACACCAGATCAACTTTGAAACGTGAGGAAGCTGATTGGTCTGCTGTACCCCAAGAACACATCCAAAGTCTCTTTGAACCAATGCCGAGGCGTGTGGCAGCGATGATCTCCAACAATGGCGGCTACTCTGGCTACTGATTCTGGAACAAACCACACTTCACAGAAGTCTATAAATTTAATCATTTGATACTTGGTCAACATGTTATCTACTAGATAAATTTTGTTGTGATATCTCTTGTCTTTCTTGGTGTTGCAGTTTGGGTGGCCAGCAGTATATGTTTAACATAACGTATCAAGTAGTCTACAAAACTAATACATAAAACTTTTTGGAAATGTTCATTTTTAAATACTACATAGCTGACTTGAGTGAAAGATAACCTTCATTTAGCTGCCGAAATAACATTTATCTGATAACATTAATCCTATCTTAGGGTTAATTACGTTCAACTAGAGTTATTATACTTTCCTCAAGCTTCATTTTCTTTAATGCGTACTGAAACTATTATTGCATTTAAATATATCATAACTTTATTTATATAACTTAACTCGTTTTTTTCCACTAAATAGATCCAGCATTAACATGGTTCTTTGCCAGAAGTGAAGCAAGTGATGAACATGAAATTCGTCGCAGAGGTATCGCCGACGAATGCTGCCGCAGAACCTGCACGTATTCAACCCTCGTATCGTATTGTGCAGCATGATGTCACGCGCTGATATATGGTTTTCTCCGCATAAGTATCCTGTTGGTTAGAATAAGATTTTGTATAGCTGCTTTTTTTAATATAGTACCTTATTTTATTGATTTCTTCTACCAATACAGAAAGTGTTTACCTATTTTTAGAATGATTTCGGGGCCGTTTAATAAATGATTAAAATGCAAAGAGTATCATCTAAATGTTCAATCAGATAGACCAGAGATGGGCAAACTACGGCCCGCGGCCCAACCCCTGCCCTCCAGAAGCTTCTATCGGGCCCGTGGATAGAATTTTAATTTGCCGGTCCGAGATAAATTAAAAGAAATACGTATCTCCTTTTCTACTTTGTTTCAATATTTTCTTACTTTCTATGAAAGTTTGATGGTCTTTTTACTTTCTCTGTTTTTCTATAAAAATATAAATTGACGGAAATAGCAAGCACAGACAGCTTTCAGTTCGCAAAGTGTTAAAAGCGGAAGTTCTTTGTTAGTTACAGCTTTAGATTGGAGCTAACAAGCGTTATCTCTTTCTCGGGGAGCAGACGTATGGGAATCCAATATAGGTGAATTAGACCTTTTAGAAAAAAACTTAATCTTTACTTAATTATTTTAACTTAATAAGAAAACTTAATCTGTTTTCTGGGGAGCTAGCTAAGAACGACTTGTCGCATTTCCCGAGGTTTAAATTCAATACCCTCAGTAAATGAAGAGAAGCTTACGAATTATGGAGATGGCAGAAAAAAACTTTGTTTTGAGTTCGAACGAAGATTTCAAGACTTCAGTGCCATTCAAAAAGCATTCAATAATTTTACCATGCCTTTCAACGTAAATTGTGAAGCTGGGAGGTCAGATTTGCAGCTTGAATTAATTGAGTTGCAATCTAACAATCGTCTCAAGTAGTTTTTTTCTAAATATGCCAATGTTAGAGTAAGAAATCATTATCGAACGAAAGTTTCCCAAATTTAATATCTCACGCCCAGAAAATCAGTGGTATGTTTGCTTCATCTTATATATGTGAACAAGTGTCCTTCAACTGTAAACGTTAGAAAGGATTATTGCAAAAGTAGACTGACCAGATGAGCATTTAGCCTCGTTCCTTAGAATCCGTACATCACACTTCGAACCTCAGTATAAGGAACTTTTAAAAATGAAATCGCAATTTAATTCATCTTATTAACATATTTAAATGGTAATACTTGTATGTTGCTTTTAAAATTTTATAAGAATTTATCTTGGACCTCTAAACCTTTCGCTTTCGATTTTTGGTCCGCGACCGAAAACATTTGCCCATCCCTGAGCCTGAGATAGACCTTTTCCCAGACTATATGTCTATATGGTGAATTTCATTATAATGGTTTTCGTAATTTTTCCAGGAATATTGGTCCCTATTTCTCTTTCAACGCTTTTGTCCAAGAATCGTAATGGATTTGCGCTTAAAAAAGAGCTCATTTCAAAAGACCGAAGCTACAATATTCCATAGATGAAACTTCAGGGAACTTTGCATGAATACGTTGAAATGGAATATATGCAATACCCGTAACAATCTTCATATTTTCAAGGTATGCAGGGATAATTTCTGAAGCCTGACTTGTTTCCTTGTCTTGATGAAGTTTATCTCTTAAATAGTCACTGGGATAAAGAAATGGAATTTCTTTTGCAAATATCAGACACCGAACTTTCTCTTGACAGCACGTGGAGTTTATTATACTATTTTTCCGTACTTTCCTTATTTTGAATTTCCTACTGTAAAAGAATCCTCCAATAAACACCTTACTGGAACTTTCTTCGGGCATTGATTGAACCCAGATTTGTAAATTTTTGTTCTCTTCGTATTCGATAAAAAATAGACCATTTTTTGTTGCAGCCATTTAGCTAAATCCATGCTTCATCAAGGGTCGCAATGTAATTCTACCTATCCCTTATACAATAGTTTTCATAGATGTTGCACAAATCGTTTTGCGTTGAGACACGCGCTTTACAAACTTGTGAATATTATGTTTTTAGTTTTTTAAGTTAGAAAATATAGTTTATTACTTTATTTATTGTTGCTTCAGATGTATTTAAATAATCTGAAATTCATTCTGTGTCGGTAAATGTTCTTTTGTTGCCAAAGATTTAACTTTAGAGTCATTGGAAATAATACGTATCTTTTTCGGGTATTCGTTTGGAGTCTTCTTTCCATGTAGAAACGATGACTGACAGTTTCCCCCCTTTCCAATTAATAAAATACTGCTTATTTTGTTCTTAGGAATTTTAATTCCATGGATTTCCTAACGTTTTTGAATTACGGAACAGGAATACTTTTTGGGGAAAGCGCAAAAACAAATCCTTCACTCCACAGCTTCTTTACTTGTGACATTTAAAAAAAAATAAATTTAAATGTAGCAGATAATATTTCTCATCTCTTGACAGAAATTTTTATTCCAAAGCATTTGCCTTTTTAAAATTCTTTAGCAAAATCATTCCATGAATATGTAAGCAACCTCTGTATATTTATCAGTTTAAAGTTATGATTCCAGTCAATTTTCAAGGCAGACAGCAGCTGTATAAATACATAAACTTTGTAGCACTGTAAGATTATTAACGTTTTAATGAATCCCGCAGCATTATCTAATGATTAGTGTTAAAATTTTACTTCTCAAAAACTGTGATTTCATTCTTACAATGAAATAACAATTAATATTTTTCTTTAGTGACTTTATATGAGCACAAATGGAACATTTAATACATATTGCTTTTTAAGAATTTTAACATCAATTTTAATTCCTTTTATTAAAGTCATAGCACCAAAATTTAGAAACTAATAAAAGTAATCTGTACACATTAAGGACCCGTAAAAATGTATATTTCCTTTACACTTTCTGCGGAATTTCTTAAAAGCTGTAAGATTCTGTAGTTAAATTAAACATTCCTGATTTACCTTTCAATTTTTTAAGCCCTTAAGATATCTTTGATGTGATGTTGATATCAGACATCTTTCATGAAATTTCGTTATTATGTTTTGAGACACACCAAAGGAGATTTAGAAAATATTTTTATACGCTACTTATTTCTCATCAATAAGAAATTAAAATTTTTATATTAAAATCTATAGATTATATTTATCAATTAATTATAAATAGGATCAGATAAAATAAAATTTCATCTTCCATTTAGAGTTAAGTTAGTAATTTTAAGACGGAGAACTAAATGTTAATTTGACACCTATAAAAGAACGATCATGGCATTTTTTATTATTTTAATTAATTGATTAATAAATGTTATTGAAACTACTTACTTATTAATATAAGTTTCAACTCCCTTGTACTTATGGCCCACCAGCGGCCGAGCGGTAAAGACGCTGAATACTGGTAGTTCGGTCTGAGGTTCGAATCCCGCGAACGGGCTGGCTGCATGGGCGTTTTCGTGGTTTTCCCCATGTGTAACGTGTATACGAGCCAGTTTCCCTTAGAAAGTCCTCCACGAAAGGCATCCCTCCCTTTAGGCAGATAGCCCTCGTGTGCTTTGCCATAATTAAATACACCACCACACAACACACCACACCCTTGTACTTATGATAATACTTCTTACATGCAAAATGAGCAATTAAGTAGGAACTTTTCTTATATAAATGCAGTCTTTTGTCTTTGAAGAATTGAATATTTAAGTCATTATTTTTATGCATAATAGATAGGAATTTCGAAGGAATTTCCAACGTTGTTGTGATTAATAGATGATTGTAAATGAATGTGAATGGCATGTAAATGAATTCTATTTGTTTTACTAAACAGAAGTAACATAGAAAATCACTTTTGTAAAACATTACATACTTAACTTTCCTCTTAATTAAAAATAAGACTTTTCTATCTCTACTTATTTTTTCTCTCTACTTATTTTTTCTCTCTACTTTCTAAAAACTGTTTCAATTACATTTTTACTACTATGATTTTAATTGCAGGTTATGTTTTTTACAACAATTTTAATTTGCATTTACTACACCCTTCTATGTTTGTTGAAACAAATATATTTAAAAAATAAACATTACACTTGGAACCAAAATATTCAGTTTATTTTTCTGCGTATACAAAATATACACAATTATGGCAACCAATATATTTTGGTATTTTGTCTTGAGAAATTAAATTAGGTAAAAAAGTTTGGCTCGGATGAAATTAAATAACGTCTACAACCAGATGAGTCATCCCCGGAAAAACGGTAGTACCTTTTACCAAGTACCTAGAAACAAGAAGAAAAAAAAAATTATTGAAAGGCTTACGTATAATTGTCATTAAGTTAATTAAGTAAGTGAATTCTACATGATTATCTTAGATTTAAAATGATTCTGATGAATGTACTAATTTAAATTTGGAAAATCATTGAAATTACTAAGAATGTTATTTTTTGATTTAAGAAAAACTTGAACATTGCTTAATTGTGTTTTTTAAATTACTGCTTTAAACTACTTGGGTCATAATATTTAGATTTACAGAAATTTATATTATAGAGTGACGCTGATTGGATACTTCAGAAATTAAAACTTAAACCATTAATTATTTAAATTACCTTTTTGAATTATTGCTTTTAAATTTTCAAACTTTTAAATTTAGAATTATAGATCTGGTTTGATTTACTTAATTACGGCAAAGCACACTAGGGCTATCTGCCTAAGGGAAGGGATGTCCTGGCCGAAACTGGCTGGTATACACGTTACACATGGGGAAAAACACGGAAACGCCCATGCAGCCAGCCCAAATCGCAGGATTCGAACCTCGGATCGAACTACCAGTGTTCAGTGGCTCTACCATTCGGCCGCTGTTGCGGCCTTTGATTTATAGAAATTTATGTTATGGAGTAATACTAACTGAATATCTCAAAAACTAAGAGCATTGATGTTTTTTTTTTTTTTCATCCTACCAACTCTATTATTCGAAATAAATTGTGATTAAAAAACGAATTATGTATTTTCTCATATAGTATTCATAAACGTAATTGCTTTACTATCATACTTTTGGTATTTGTTTAAATTTAATCAAAGTTGAACATAATACTGCAAAATTAGCTTTCACATTAAATAAACGAAGGCAATTTATTTTGTTTACAATCAGTAGTTAAGTAACGAAGAATTTTCATCAATCGAAGAAGTTATATAATGCTATTTGCATCTTAAACTAGAAATCATATTTAATTTGAAACTAGTCTAAATGAAACAAGTCTTTCTATGCTATATCAGAATAGTATAAGTATTTTCCCAAATAAAAAATTAAAAAATTCTGGAATAGAAATTATTTACTGCAACTATTGAGTTAAATTAGAAACGATATATTTTGCTGAGGAAAGAGTTATTCAAAAGATGTACCTAATGAAATATTTCTTGTAACAAACTTGTTCTCTTAAAAGTATTCTATACTGAAGAGAATTCGTTGAGTTTGACATTAAATCCTTAAATGAAAAATATTGTTCAGCATCAGCTGAAATTTTTCAGTTTACAAAGACTCTTTTACTGAAATATAGAAACTACAACTAAACTGTGAAGGAATATAAATTAATCAACCCATTTTATACGTATTGCCTTGTTTAATATTATGCACGGAGTTTCACTTCAAAAGATCCTTTATCTACAGGAAAGGCAAGACCTTTTTGCAGAGAAGAGCAATGCAAGGATTTTGAGTCATAAATAAGAATTACAAGTTTTGCATTATCGTTCTTTAATTTTCCCTAATTGGCACTCTGTTTTAAAGAGAAATTTTGCAGCAAAATTACCAGTTAAAGGCAACTATTAAAAGTATTCATTTAATTTAAATCAAAACATGCATTGGTTTTGAGATAATATAATTCTTATTTTTTAAAAAAATTCTATAAAAAAAGATTTAAAATACTGGAATATAGCTAGCATAAATTAATGGTTAATAACGTATAACGCAAAGATCGAATGACTCGGGTAGCGTTTGCAGTGACTAAGTAGATTTCTAATAGAATATATTACTTTTTATTCGATTAGAGAGATAATCACTTTAGAAAACGTGTACAATATATTTACCTATTTCCAGACTGGGGCAACGTAGGCAGCGCTGTAAGGGTAAGGAGCGGCCGCATAGTAGTAAGGAGAAGCTGGTGCCACAACTGGGGCAACTGGAGCAACAGGAGGAACGTAGGCGATAGGTGCAGTATTGTAAACTTTGCCAGTCAGAGCGCTGGAGTATTGACCAGTGGAGAAGTCATAGTAGTTTCCAGCTAGGTCTTTCAAACCACCGAAACTGGCGGCTGAGGCAACGGCCACGAAGGCAACCAAGACAGCGATCATTACCTAGAATGAAAAAAATGAAAACATTACACTTTATGAATTCGCCAAGTTTTCTAATGAAATTATAAACACAAAAACAATGCGATGTATCAAACCTGTCCATGTTTCATGCATCTACTCTTGTGCGAAGCTGATGAATAATCTTCAAAAGCTATACTTATTAAATTTATTTGTTGCCAACTTTTCTCGTAGCAGCACTCAAATGAATTAAATTTGCATTGGATTTTATGAAAACTAAGTTTTACTAATTATGTTTTGCAAATAACTGTGTTTGACGTTAATTAATTTTATATATTTATAACATTCAATTTTTGTTTTTTCAGGAAAGGGGAAAACAAGCTGATATAGATACCTTTTACGCACATGAGATAAAATCTGCCATTACTCCATTCAGCACTCTATTCTTAACATATGCAACGTTGCAATGGAGAATAATTTAAAGAATGTATAATAAATGTGTATTTTACCGTATACTATTTGTCATTTTTTGCTTTGGAATTAACGTCTTTTATTTCTATACAATATTTGCTATTAGACATAATGGGGAAAATGCATGTGTCCTTTCATGTAAAATCACGTTTTTTACATGAAAGGCAACTACAGAAAATATGAATGTATGAAAAATCGAAAACAATGTTGATGTTTTTCTGCTCTCCAAACACATATGTAATGTGAAAAAAAACTGAGGAAGTTTTGTTTCGTTTATCGGTAGTTTTCTTTTGTAAAACGAAAATCTGCTTTTAATTAACAAAAGGAAGTATTCTTTTATTTACCTACAAAGTCAATTTCTTTTTTTACATAGACTAATGTAAAGTAATGAAATGTTTATTTATATTGCACCTAAAACTAAACATAATAGAGTTTTTATTTGTGTTATCCTAAAATAAAGAAATGACATTACTTTGTATTTGTGTGAAACATTTACATTATATTAAAGGCTAAAGGAAAATGTATACTTTACAGTATTATTTTTTTACTAATCAAGTCAATCAAAATGTTAAAAATACTCAAGCAAATTAACAATAAAGTTCGCCTAGCCTAGGGAAATGCGAAAAACACTACTCTATTCGGACAATCAGAATTTCAAATTTCTGAAATATTTGGAATTTGACTGTTATTATCTTTCAGTTTTTTTTATTTTTCATTGGCAATTTCAATTATCTTGTGGAAATATTTTAGAACCTTATAGACTCATTTGCAGAGATATCGTTAAAATTATTGACAAGCTTACCGCTCCATTTTTTAAAGGAAACTTTTCAACATTATTTTAACATTTATTTACGATTGCATGTTTTTGTGAAAATAAAATCTGCATTTTTTAATTAACATTTTAAAATAAACTTATCTTTCCCTGGAGTCCTAAACATATTTTCATGCGAAATTCTGTTAAATTTATATCAAACAAATTATATTTTTCAGTTCTGAAATAATGAAAAACCTTTCCATTTATCAATCAGGTAATTACACTACACAAAGAATTGAAGAAAATTATGGTAATTTTATGTATGAAAACATTACACAAATAAAACAATGCAAAAGGAAAAAAAAATAAATTCGAAAATAATTCAGATTTTAATATCGAACCAGCAGGTTTTTTAAGGTTTTTTATTCAAATTATATATTGAAATGAATAAATTAATATCACTGTAATTCCTCTATTTAAAGTAGCAGTTATATCATGATTAATTGATTAAAAAGTTAATTAAAAATTTTTAACGTGCACATAATTTAAGTAGTCATTGTCATTTTTAATATTAAATTACATATAATTTAATTCAAACATAGTTTTATTGATTTAAGTTATGGTTAATGAAAATAGGAAGTTAATTATACAGCAAAAAAAAAAAAAAAAAAAGTAAAGAATTCTGCCCTCAGGAAGGACACCTTATGGAATACTTTCTAAGAGTACTAAGCACTAATAAGAATGCTACATATCTAAGTGCTCTGCGTAAGCTTTGTCTTGAGAATGTTATAAGTATTCGATTCTAAGGTATTTTTAAGAATAAAGTGAATTTAAATAATACTATTCTAAGTACTTTTTAGACTACCATTCTAAGAGTACTGTCTCATATTGCCTTTACAATTAAGTTAAAAATGTCATGAATATCCACATTAGAAAACCAAATCAGGAAAGAACTACCAGTGCTCAGTCGTTTTAGTAGTTCCAGTAGTCATCAGAAGAATTTAGAAACGTAGAACAAATTAACATGCTAAAATTAATTCAAAATATCGAAGTAAAAAATAAGTAGATTTTTTATGCTCCTTTTCTCTAGCTTAAGAAATGATGTCATTAAATATTAAATTTATTTTTTAAGAAGAAACATGCACTACTGAAATTTAAAAATTTTCTATTTTGTATTACAATCGTAACTTCCAGAAATCTAAAAATGACGATTATTATAATAAGTACCTCTTGCGATACTGGATGGTATATTTAATTATGATAAAGCACTCGAGAGCTATCTGTCAAAAGTGGAGGGATGTCTTCGTGGAGAACTTTCTAAGGCAAGCTGGCCCTTATACATGTTACGCAAGGGGGGAAACAACGAAAACGCCCATGCAACCAGTCCGTCGTGATTCGAACTGTTAACCGACTTTCATCCGCTGGTCAATCTCTTTTCATGTTAAAAATAAATAAATTAGAAATACTAGAAATAAAATTATAAATTTGCTATTCCATAAGACTGAGAAAAAAGAACATAATCACTTTAATATCTTAGAAAACTCAAAATTATAAAATATTTTTTTATAATTTTAACTAAGGTATATTAAAAATAAGTAACATTTTATCTTTCCAATTAATTTTCATTTTATTCAATATAAGACCTTGTTAAAGCTATTATTCTCACTTAGGATTCAAAATGAACATTAGCAGTAATTATTGAATGCGATTATTGAATTATATAAGTAATGAAGAATTTAGCTCATCAAAGCGGACTTTTTCCAGATAAGTGAAGAATGCAATATTCATACTTACGAGCTTTGCCATTTCGAATTGTTGTACGTTTGCTTGTCTGAAGCTAGACTGAAAGTATGTCTACTGCAACAGCCGACGGAGTTTATATACCCGAAATCCATGGTCACATATCCGTTAAGATGCCCACATGAAACGTCGTAGGTGAGAGGTATTTCCCAAATATAGGATGGCTCCCAAACCCCTCCCTGTTGAAAAATTCTTACTTTCGAGACAATTGTTTTCTTGAGTTTTGTTTTTCTTGATTTCTTTTTGAATTGTGCCAGGGGTGTGGTTTGAGCGGGTACGATAAAAATCACGAAGGACGTTTGGTAGATTTTTTTTTTTTTTTTTTTTTTTTTGGTTGCTGTTGGATGAAAAGAGGGACACTGCAGTTGAGAAAACTCGAGATGTCTCTAGAAGTGTTCTTTGAGTTTAACCAATAAGGCCATCAGCTCAAGGTTGAACAATTTTACCTTCCGTGTAGGTTCGTTCGAAAGGAGGGGTCGAATAAAAGTTGCTTCTTGAGATGCACTGCGTGGTACGGGAATTCATTATGGTCATCACAGTTTTGGAAGACTTCATGGCCACTTGATGCCTGATTACATCAAAACCGCCCTTCTTTGAGGGAGCTATAATTTTCTTTATTTCTTTTAGGAACTTGCATTTTCCTTCTTTTCTTTTCTTCATGACGATTTAACAGGGCCCTCTACGTGACCGAGCTTTTAATATTTCCCTTTAAAACTGCTATGGACAAAAAAAAAAAAAAATTAAACCTCTGAATTAAATTAAAATAGCTATAAAATGAGTCATTCATTCAAATATAAAATTTTAGTGTGTTTGACTAGTGAGCTTTAATTACACAAAATTTCTCTCCCGAATTTTGAATCCCCTCGGATGGCGTACAGATTTTGCAATAAAATGTCCTTCTTTCCTCTTTTCCTATTTGTGAACAGTAGGAAAGATCATTATTACTGATCTATGTAATTTACTAATATATCGCTTGCGACCAAAGAATTCCTTAATGATATTTAAAGTTTTTTTCAATGGTACTGGAGTCAATTTTTATGCAAAAAAAAAAAAAAAAAAAATCTTTCATGAAATTACTCACGATTCAACTAATGTGAAAAGAAATTTTTAATTCACTAAAGAAGGCACATTTAAAAATATGTCTTTATACCCAGAAATTCGCTCAAATTTTGATGAAATTGGAATGCTTTCACTCAAAATGAAAAATGGATGCAACATGGTTAATACCACTAACTGTTAAATTTGTATATTAATGTAACTAAATTGATATTGAAGTTTAAATTCATAGCAATGTATGTATATATATATATATGTTATATACATGTATTAAATTATATATATTTCTAATTAAGAAAATTAAAAGGAAAAGTCGATACAATATGATAGATTATAATTTCTTCTCTATGAAGGTACTAACTAATTCGTCCTCAATAACAGTAGCAATATAAAAGGAGTACATTCAAAAATAAAATATATCTATATAATTGGAATGGAATAATATATATGTAAGTCGATACAATATGATAGATTATAATTTTTTCTCTATGAAGATCCTAACTAATTCGTCAACAGTAGCAATATAAAAGGAGTACATACAAAAATAAAATATATCTATATAATTGGAATGGAATAATATATATATATATATAATATAATAAATATATATATATATAATGGAAATAAATAATATCAATGGAAATATATGTATCTATATAATCCATAACATCAGAAATGAGTTATGCATTGTTGAGTCGAAGAAAATTAAATTTCAAATGGTCTTTAACAGTGCAGTGTAGTTAGAGTAAAACTGCATTAAATTGTGATAAAATTACAATTTTAAATTAAAAAATACGGAAAACTGTCAGACAGTATAAATTCGGACGAAAATTCTTTAAAGAATTTCTCATCCTCTTTTTTGCATATACACTCATGTCCATAAATTAAGGATAATTGGGAGTCACGCGAAAATCGAACTCTAAAATAAATATATCATCTGTAAAATCACTACACACATCTTCAAGAATCATATGCAAATTTCAGGAAGTAACCAGATGACACCGATGGTACGTCACAATGACGAGAGTGTAAGAGAGTGATATATAAGGAATACAGGCAAAGAAGTAAAATTGTTCTCAGGCGCTTTATAAGCATTTCAGTGCAATAACCGAATAGTTATGACACAAAGGACGCATTTGGATGATTTTTTATGTGGTAGAATTATCGGCCGTCTGGAATGTGGGCGTACACAACTGGAAGTATCAGACGAACTTGGAATTGCCCAGAGTGTCATCTCCAGGCTTTGGCAACGATTTCAAGATGATGGTAATGTGAGTAGACGTTACAGCACAGGTCGCCCCAGAGTTACAACGCCGAATGAGGACCGGTATTTGGCAGTTACTGCCAAAAGAATCAGGCGGAGCACAGCCTCAGACCTGTCTCGTCAGCTCTCTTCAGCCACTGGTACGACAATTTCAAGGCAGACCGTGTACAGACGCTTAGGGCAGATTGGTCTATATGCTCGTAGACCTGTCAGATGCGTTCCACTTACTGCAACTCACTGTCGCCTGCGGTTAGCCTGGAGTAGAGAGCATGCATTGTGGACACCGCAACAGTGGACTTGTGTGATGTTTTCCGACGAGTCCAGGTTTAGCTTGCCGTCTGATTCTCGCCGGACTTTCATATGGAGAGCTCCAAGTACCCGTTACCACCAAGAAAACATCATTGAACGACACCGTTACGGTGTGCAGGAGTGCTCGTTTGGGGTGAAATTATTCTGGGTTCCAGAACTGACCTGCATGTTCAAGTTGGAACCATGACAAGCCAAATCTATCGGGACGTCATTCTGTAACAACATGTACGTTTGTTTCGGGGCGCCATGGGCGCACAATTTGTGTTTATGGATGACAACGCCCGTCCTCACCGTGCAAACATCGTAAGCGAATGCCTTCAATCAGAGGATATCACCCGTATGGACTGACCAGCATTCTCACCGGACTTGAATCCAGTAGAGCACGTGTGGGACATGCTTGGCCGACGAGTTGCAGCCCGTCAACCTCCTCCTACATGTCTACCGGAACTTCGGAAAGCATAGCTTTTTGAGTGGTGTAATATTTTCCAAGATCAGATCGATAATTTGATACTCAGCATGCCTAGGCGTTGTACGGACTGTATTGCATCGTCTGGGAGACATACAATGTATTAACAATCATACCAACCATGTAATATTGTTTTTTTCTAAACAGGTGTTTTTTGTAATTTGCTCCAGGGAGAAAAAATCGCTAATTTTTTTAATAATATCAAACATATAGCATCTTTTTTTTTGCTCTTTACCTTATATTTAATAAATAGGCTTTACAAATAAGTTAAATTTGTTTTGCTTCTAACTCTTCCTTTGCCTGATTTTGCATTATCCTTAATTTATGGACATGAGTGTTCCTATTTTGCATATAATTCCTATTTGCGTTGCTAAGTGTAATGAACTAATTTTTTTTTCAATAAATTTAGTTCATTACACTTAGCAACGCAAATTTTAGTGTTTAGTATTAAATTCCCCATGCGTAATGCAGTGGTGTAAATAGAGTGTTCAACTAGCAATTGCAAGCTTCGTGGTTCGAGTCCTGGCGAGGGTGAGTCGATTTTTGACATGCATTGTTTTTGAGATCTTTTAAACATGAGCGAAATATACTATGAATTAAATAATAAGTATGCTATATGAAATCTATTTATTTTATACCAAAACTACTGTTTTATAATACAAACCTTCCATAAGAAGTTACATTTGTAGAACCCCTTATAAGGCATTTCTCCCGCCTTCTTAGCGTGTCTTCGTGGTGTAGTGGTTCTGCACGTTGGGCAGGTATTCCAGAGATTCGGGGTTCGATTCCCAGCGAAGTCGATTGCTCATTTTTCATCTTGCCTGCTTCAAAAAAGTACCTAATGTCTCTACACCCTTATAAGGGAATCTGTGAGGGCAAACCCTGATAAATTCCAAAAATAATCCGCTATCATGTGTCCATCCCAAATTCCTTGGCATCTGATATTAATGTTTTTTGTGTTTCTATGAAACATCCATCTGGCTCTTCGTTTAAGTCATAAAAGTTATCTTGAAAGCATCTGATTATGCAGCTAGTGAATATAAAGTCCTGTTGCAGTCAATCCTGTTGAAATGAAAGAGCATATCCTGTATTATGGATAATATTTGCATTTTGGTTGTCTAGAAAAACTTTTATAAGAACAAATGAAGATTATACAGATAATTTAATTTCATTCGGTTGAAGAGACATTTGGATTTTTTTGAAGCAGGAGAGATGAAAAATGAGCAACGCCTTTGCCTTTACTCTAACAACGGACCTCTTAAATACGCTTCGAACGTGCTGACCACAACACTACGAAGGCATGCTAAGATGAAGATACCATATACACCGGAAGAAATATCTTATATACTCTCCCTTTTAAAGGGCGACTGGGGATTAGGGGACCCAATCGCCAAATCATGGTGGTGGAGATACACCACCCTTTTAGTTCGGGCGCCACAGGATAGGATTAGGATTTTTTGAAGCAGGAGAGATGAAAAATGAGCAATGCCCTCACCGGAACTCGAACCATGGACCTCTCGAATACGCGTCAAGCGTGCTGACAACTACACCACAAAGGCATGTTAAGAAAACGGGTAAATACCTTATACAGTAATAACAATTTATAAATATCTGGCATCTAAGAATGTATGCGCATCATCGGAGCAGTGTCTGCGCACCATCGAAAATACCTACCCACGTTACTTATGCAGAACGTATTCGACTTCTTTCACCGTCTTGTAAACCATTTATTCAGGCGTAGCTTTACATTCAGCGACATCATGTCTGACTTCCTATGCAATATCTCTTACTACCAAAAGCCCATTGATTACATCTTGTCCTCCAGCCGATTACACACACACACACCTTTTAACCGATCACAACTATTATTAAGCTACCAACCTAATTAGAACGCACTATTTTTTACGTAAAACTATGGTTTAAAATACATAAATACCTCTATGTTGTATATGCCAGAACAAAAGTCAGATAAAAAAACAGCAAATTGGATAACATGTTACAATTTAAATCTACAATCTATAAACAAATTAAATTTTAATTTATAAGCAAAAG